CACCCGCCCCGAACCGAAACCCACCCCTTTCGCCATTAGTATTCGCGCGTATGCGCAGCCGCGTGCGCGTTCACAAGTAAATTCCATCGAATCATAATCAGCCTGCACCCTCTTCAGGGTCATCAATTTCCCCGAGGATGCCCGACGTACCCTGGTGCTTGATAACCTGATATGCAGGTGCATCCTGACTGCGGAACATGGACGAATCTACTATCGCGTCTTTTGCCCCTTTGATTTCCTATCCTTTATCAATACGATTAACACGTTTCACGTGTCTACGCCGAAGGTCTCCTAAAATCCTTATCATTGTGATTTCGCGAGAGGGGTAGGTGCACCACCCTCCCGGCTGAGTGAGGGTGACCCCAGGATATATCCTCGATCCAGTTCTCCGATTCGTGACCCATCACCTCACGTTCTATACCTCCACAGCTACGGCAATGTTAGGCGGAAACCATTTTCTAATCCTGAAAGCCTTTTCTATCGATCCGAATCAATCGATCCCGAATACGCAGTCACGTAGTGCGTATAGAATCACGGCTGGTGGAATTGGTACCCATTGAGGCTTTCTACATCTTTTTTCCTTTTTCTTCGTTCCTTCTTAACCCCTTCGTCGTAAGCTGTACCTCGTCTACCTTAACACTACTTTTCGTGTCTAGCGGTCGATTCAAAGCAAACGGGCCTTAACTCTTGTCTCTCTTTGCGCCACGAGCTACCCCTGGGCCAAATATGGCCGAGACCTGCCTCTTCGGTTCTAGTCTCTACACTTATTCTCTTTCTCCTTCGTCCCTCGTTCTCGTCCGTTCAATTAGTACTTGCCGGAAGGCTACCACCTGGATCTTCCGATCGTTCACAGACTCTTTCTAATGGAACGACTCTTGCTCGAATTCTCTCCGTTGCGCACGCGCCGAACGTACGCACCGTCGGATTAGAACGTACGTCTACGTGAATTAAAGATCGGCGAATCGTGCCGCCATTCCTAGCTACATTTTTTTTTCTTCGTCAACCCTTCGCGCAATTATCATTTTGTTTTTTTTTTTTAGTAACTTTTTATTTATTATTACTTTACATAGGAACGTTTTGTCAGCCCACCTCGTATTCGTCGTGATCGATCATCGTCGGTTGCGATTTCTTCCTACCTCTTCTTGGGCTCGTCTCTTTTCTACTCGACACATTTGGTACATCCACCTAGCCCTTTCCTTTCGACCTAGACACTTTCCTAGTTCCTATTTTCTCATTCGTCTCTTTATCCTCCCCTTTACCATTCATTCTCAGTATCCACACATTCTTCCTCCTTAATAATCCTCTGCGTATACCGTCTTCTGTCGCGAACCTCAACATTCGAAATCGAGTCTTTTCTTAAAATCGCCTTTTTTCTCTCATTCTAGGAATCCGTGGTTATCAATTCTGAGGAACTTTGAGTGCGTTCAACGCGTCGCTCGAAACATTATTACAAAAATAACAGACAATGGCAAATAGTAGTAATGATAATTAAGCACAGACCGACACTGGAGGATCGGCCATGCGAACAACGGTCCGTAGATTCCCCGGAATCGAAGATTCCCGAATAAAGCCGAATTCGAATATCCCGGGGAAATAAAATATTCGAACCTAGTTCGTCTCTCTCTTCTATTTTTGTCTCATTCTCCATTTTGGCCAGCGAGTACGAGAGTAAGATATTCAATATACCGCGTGTCCTATAAATTTTAATCGAAAGCTCGCGAATAGGTACCAACCGTGCAATTGGCTACTCAACGGGCCCCTGCCAGGGCTGCCACTTCTTGGATGAGTTTTTGTCTTTTCGCTTCGGGTCCGTTGTTATTATCTTGCCCAGTGAGTCCCGAACCCGTTTGGGACTGGCCCGTGGTACTCTCCGCAGCAGCCCTAGCAGCCAACAGGGTAATCTGGTTAACCACATCCTCCATCTCGTCCGTTAAAGGATTTGCCTCTTCTCCGTGTTCACTTCCAGGATGAGCAAAGTGTTGCTGCTGTTGTCGCTGAGGTTGCTGATTCTCGAGACGCGCCCGATGCTGCACAGTCTCGGCGTGCCGTCGAAACTCCGTGACGCTCGAGTAGGTGCGCGTCGCGGCGCTCTCCTCGCACGCGGAACAGGCGAACCGCGTCTCGACGAAACGCAACGCGCCGCGACGCTGCTGGTTCCCGAGGTAGCAGCTGCGCTGATGCGCGAGCAGCGTCGCCTCCTGGGGATAAGCCCTGCCGCACCTTCGACACACCAGGCACAGCTCCGACTCCAGTTGACGGCAGTGAGGGGGTAGCGCGCCGGAGACGTCCTCGCTCGCGGGGCCAGGGAGGCGCACTGTCTCCAGGCCAGGATGGTTCGGGTCCTGCTGCAGGAAAGCCTGCATCAGGGCACGCGGTACCTGCACCTGCGGCCCACCCTCGACCTGCAGGGACATCAGTCCGGTTGATACAACAGGAGCGCTGCCACTCAGGCTCCCAGTCGCTACTGAAATCAAAGGTCAAACTTCACTTTTAGACACCGCATATCGCGAGGGCCATCCTAATTGGCACACGTCGCCTAACTTATCTTAACGATCCTCCTGGATCCTCGGATCCTCGGATCCTCGGATCTGCGGATCGAGATACGCTCAAGATACTCTTTAGATAGAGCTGCAAATTGATTCGTAGCGACTCCCGTGCACCTCTAATAAACGTCCTATCTTGGCGCTCCTGAAAATTTATGCAAAACCCGTTCCACTAGGAGACAGCTAAAGTGCTGGTTATTAGCTGAGCTTCACCCAAGGCAAAACACATTGACAAGATAATTCGGGATGCGCAACCCGAGCGCTGATATTTCATTCAATGTTCTTTGTTCTTTCCACGTGCTTTTCGTTGGTTCTCTATTTGATCAGGCATCGACCCTTTTCATTCGCACCTTTAGACACTCTGTAGGTTAACCTACAATTCCACTGTACAAGCTTATACAAGCCACTGGGCTTCGGCTACCGAGGCGCCGATTCTCTCGAGTCACTTTCGAAGATGGTTCTTTGTCATTGACAAGATATGAACGTTCTGACGTTCCGACGTTTTAACGTTGTAACATTGTGACGTTGCGTCTATCTCCTCCTCGACCAGATGAGACTCGTTACGAAGCAGGAAGTGTTAATGATACCCCTGCTCATTCACTGGACGCTCTCCTGTAATTATCGGCCGTGGGAGG